GTTCTACATTTTGCTTTAAACGGCTGGCGCTGAATAAATGCACACGCTGAGCTTTGTTTTATTGAGCAGCGGGGCAGTTCATTGACTACATGTCTAAACTCTTTATTAAGACTTTGGGGAGTGACATGCATGCTTGGAGAAGCGTGTCTGTTAATTGTCACTAAGATTATTTTTAAGGGAAGTTACATTTATTGCTTAGTACGGTCACTGAAAGTGGTTCCTCTGTGAAGCTGCTGATTCCAACAGAATCAGTTGGCAGTCGGTATGTTGGCCTCTCACCACGGGCCCCAGGAGAGTTCTGGTCTGGTTAGACCTCGGGGGGAGCGGGTCATGTGCTGGCGAGCAGAGCTCAGACGGTGCCATCCAAAAAATCAAGTTAGGGGCCCGCGGAAACAGTGGGAGGAGAGAGGTCTTTCGGTGCCCCGGTCAATCGGCCTGTTGGCCTGTTTTCCAAGTGTTTGCGGCAGATGCCCGCGTTTTCATGGTTTCCTCGCCTCCTCTGCTTCCTGCCTTCTGGTTCAAAATTAATGCGACTCGTTGGAGTCCTACCGTAACTGGGCGGAGAAAAATTACGTGAGACACAGCCAAGGCTTAGGGAGCCCCAAAACTAATTGAAGGGAGAAATATGCACGTAAATTGCTGTTACTATTATACTTTAGGAGACAGAGAAAATGCTGTGAGAACCGAGGAGCGGCAGATAAATTTCAGATGGCCAGATCTGGCAAAGGTTTCATAGAGCTTGTGACATTTGCTTAAATTATTGAAAGACAGAAATTTGACAGGCAAAAAAAAAAAGAGTCTTCCAGGCTCAAGGACAGTGTAAATAAAGAAAGGCACAGAGCTAGGAAAATGCAGAACAGAGCTTGTTTTCGGCATAGTTTTCCAGAAGAGGTGTAGAGCACACACAGGAAAGCCTACAGTGGGAAGGCCAGAAAGGAGACAGGTCCTGGCAGGCGTCAGCATCGAGGGGAAGAGCTAGAACCAGAGCACCGGGGGCTGTGTAAGTAGGGAAT